TCAGGACGACACTAGCTTTGAACCCACTCAGTCAAAGAGGCTTCGGCCTACTCATTCTCAGGACCACACTAGCTTTGAGCCCACTCACTCAAACAAGCTTCGGGCTACTCATTCTCCTCAGGATGACACTAGCTTTGAGCCCACTCACTCAAACAGGCTTCGGCCTACTCATTCTCCTAAGGACTTCACTAACTTTGGCCCACTCACTCAAACAGGCTTCGGCCTACTCATTCTCAGGACGACACTAGCTTTGAGCCCACTGACAATAAAAGGCCTAGGCCTACTCATTCTCCTCATAGAATCCTAGAGTTGGAGGAGACCTCATGGGCCATCCAGTCCAACCCCTAGATCTAGACACTAGGCTCCTATTGATGCAGGCCAAAATCCCATTGGCTTTTTTTTTTGGGTGCACTACAGTTTCCAACATTGTGGGTCAACCGCCCTCCATCCCACCATTATTTTCTATTGATCATGTTGGCCATGTGTCAAGTTTGGTCCAGATCCACTGTCATTTAGGTTCACAGAGTTCTTTGACTGTGGGTGTACTACAATTCCCAAAATGGTGGCTCATTTCCCCCCAAACTCTCAGTATCTGAAGTTGGTCATGTTGGAGTGGGGTATATTCCAAGCTTAGGTCAAATTCAGCCAATGATGGATCTGGACCAAACTTGGCACACATACCTAACATGACCAACTTTGACTAACTCATGATCTGCCTAATTCATACTCAACCTGGCAAAGAACCCAGTGTTACCTGCCCATTTACTAAGCTGACTGGGGCTAGTCTGTCCAACAGTTGGATGGGCAACATCTTCTCAGTGACCTTCAAGGGTGAACCTCAGAGGCAGTGAAGACTTTTGGACTCCTCCCCTCCTAGAGAGATCCCTATCTAAATCCACACATGTGATTGTAAGATGTATTAATAATTTTTTATTCCAAGGAACAGAAATACAAGCATGAAAACAGAAACAGGTATAGAAAATAGTTACATTGAGCAAGAATAATGTCTCCCTACAAACACAAAACAAAAAAGAATTGTGCAACAACTAACAGAACTCAGTCTGAAACAATCATCCTAATCTATGCAACTCTATAAGATTATATCTTGCATCAGGATAGTTGGTTCTAGCCATCTCTGGGCAGAGATTATCCTCACTGCAGGCATTATGTACAATAGTAGTCTTTGTATTTCCTAACAGATCATCCACCGTCCCAGCAAGGAAAACTCTAGTTTCATCATCATTTTGATCTTGACATTTTTTTCTAACATCATAAACACTTGTGTCCAATACTTCTGGGCCTTTTTACAAACACATCTGGTAAAAGGTCCCAACATTTTACAAACTATCAGTGCAATTTGCTGGCCAACTTGCTTCTTCTCATCCAACTAACTGACTTCAGACACAGTTGTTTCTGCTTCAGTAGCGGCTCTTATCTTGATTTACATTTCATTCATTGCAATGACACTTACTCGTTAGCATGGTCAGATGCAATTGAGATGAGCCAAGAGACAGAGCAATGGTGTCTCCTATATTTATACTCCACTGTTAGAAGCTCATTATTCAATGTCCAGCCTCCTAGTCTATTGCAACATCTTCCTTGTCTGTTCCACGCATGCTTCATAATGTTCCAAAGATTAACTCTTTCACAGCTAGCAGCATGGACATTTTAAACTTGTGTACAATGTATATTGACATTACATTGATTATCATACGATAACATCACACGTCCTTGAGTCCAATACTTCTGAACCCTTTTATAAAAACACATCTGGTAAAAGGTCCCGAGATTTTTCTCACATTTCTAACATTTACTAGAACTGGCTTTGTACAACTTAGAAAACCTCTCTGGCGTCAGATACTTGTATACATCACCATGTAATTTTTTTTTCTTTCAAAACATTATTCAGAGAAAATTTCAATTTTTTTTTGTCCGAACCTTTTCTTGTTGCTTCAATTGTTTTGGCCTACAAATATTTTCTGCCGCCCACTTAACCATGCAATATTTCACATGTTCTTCCTTCATTTCATATGTTTTAGCAATCAGAGGGTCATCCTCAGAACATAACAAGGTTTTGAATTCTGGTTGATCAGACATCCAAATACATTTTTTTTCTAACTGAAACMGKTCTGCAATTTCTTTTCRAGSAAACCGTTCTGTCGTCATCCCCTCTGTCATCAATTCCTCCCTTGTCTTTAACCTATAYACCTCATTATGCAATAGAAACAAATCACTGTAAGTAAACCATTTCCTAAAATCTTAGAGTTGGAAGAGAACTTGTTGAATAAGTGATATACCAGGCAAAGACCCTATTAAGTACTGGAGGTGGTCCAGGGTGCAGAACCGATTCATTCCACAGTGCACCGACATTAGGATCACTGTAAGACAATCGACTCCAAAAGAAAGGAAACCCTCAATATGCAAAACATCAAGGACGAGAGAGTTCCACTTGTATTGAAAAAAAAAAAAACAGCCTTCTGCCTTGACCAGAACTTCTACCGTTATTGTGTATTGTATTGAACTCCTTTTTTCTGTTGATTTGAAAAACCAATGGTTTTCCAATTACAATCCCTAGGGTCTTTCAGGGGCTGATGGTTTCTGTCGCGCGGCTGGGGGGCCTGTAAACAGCTTGTTTTTTCCTATTAGGGGACATATACTTTAAAGGGGCCCCAGCGGGGGGGGGGAAAGGCCCAGGGGCCTCAAAAAAGAGGAGGTTTTCTCCAGGGATTTTTTTCTTGAAGGGTGATGATCTTTGAGAGTTTAAATGATACAAAACCAAAAAAATCTTTAATTTATGGGAACCAGCAAAACAAAATCTTCAATGGTTCAAAAACAAAAAAAAAAAACAAAAAACACTTCAAAAGCTTTTAAATGAGATGAGATAAAATTTATATTTTCAGTTTTGGATTAAAAAACAAAAAAACCTGTTCCAATCCCTGTAGGGAAAAAAAAAAAAAAAAAAAAAAAAAAAAACCCTATTTAACCTCTCCCAGGCTGTTTACTATCTATGCCTCATCGGTGTGGGTCCTACTACCAATTCCAAATGTGTCTGGGTATCAAGTAGACCTACCAGCCGAGGCTTGTAGATATTTCAGATGGAGTTCCGTGGATCTGTAGTGCTGTCCTCCCTCAGAGAATTCTTTGAAAACTTCAGGGCTGTTTTCCCTCTGTTTGCTGTGAGGCTGAGAGGCTGTGAGCTCTCAGCCAGAGCCTTGGGACCTTTTCCCTGGAATTTCTGTTTCCCCAGATGTTCTGTAGAAAAGAAGCTTTTCTATGGGACGAGCTGGTCTACGTCCTATAGTTTAGCTTCCTTACGAGAGATTGCCCCAAAAATGGCTCCTTTCCCTCCCAGAGCCCTGAACAAGGAACCATAGCTTAATTATGATGGACAGGAGGCCTGCCCTATGACTGCAAACAGATAACAGAAAGAAAATAAAGTTGGAGCTCCTGGTACAGCCGTACCAGCACAGCCGCAGAAAACAAGCTTACCCCCCTCCTCTCAATCTTCTCTTCTGCAGGCTAAACATGTCCATCTCTTTAAACTCATAGGGCTTGTTCTCGAGACCCCTTGATCCTTTGAGTCACCCTCCTCTGGACACTTTCCAGCTTAGACTCAACATCTCCGATAAATTGTGATGCCCAGAAACACCGGGAGGTGACAATACAGGCTCCTCAGATTGAAAATGGAGAGAAGCACCTCTCCCAGAGCGAGAACTGAGCCTCGCCTTCAGAAGCCGGAAATGAAAGGAGAAGCCTTATAAACCGTATAAAATAAAATAGGTACTGCTTTGGCAGGAAAAGGCAAAAGAAACTCCAAGCAGTCTTGCCGGCCACACAACCGGGAGGTGACAATGTTTCTCCCCTGTGTGGACTCTTTAATGGCTCCTCGGCTTGAAAATCGAGAAAAGCACCTCTCCCAGAGAGAGACATGAGCCTCGCCTTCAGAAGCCGGAAATGAAAGGAGAAGCCTTTGCCTTTGTCTCATTTTATGTGACTGTAAAGGCATTGAATGTTTGCCTATGTCTGCTATAAATGCCGTGATCTGCTTTGAGTCCCCTCGGGGAGAAGTGCAGAACATAAATAGTGAATTATTATTATGATTAAGGTAAATCCAAATATATATACATACGAAAAAAAGTAGCAAGAACTCTAAAGAGACTTACTGGAGGAACATTTGCCTAATATAAGGAATAGAAGAAATTGGTTTGCCATTATTAAGGATATTTGAAGGATTTCAACACTCCGCCACAGACCTGGGAAAAGTGGCATGAACTAAGAAGTGAACAAATATTTCCACGGAATTTTATTCCACATTCTATGCATTCACATGGTCTCACCCATGTGAGTCCTTAGATATTTATTATATAAGCAACGTCTGTTGAAGGCCTTTCCACATTCCATGCATTTATGTGGTTTTTCTCGTGTGGGTCTTATGATGGGCATGTAAACTGTCACTTCTGCTGAAGGCCTTTCCACATTCCATGCATTTATATGGTTTTTCCCCTGTGTGGGTCCTATGATGGGAACGCAAATGTCCTCTGTCCCTGAAGCTCTTTCCACATTCCATGCATTTATATGGTTTCTCCCCTGTATGGATTCTTTGATGGGAATGTAGACTTCCACTGCAACTGAAGCTCTTTCCACACTCCATGCATTCATAAGGTTTCTCCCCTGTGTGGGCTCTTTGATGCGACTGCAAACTGCTACTAGAAGAGAAACTCTTTCCGCATTCCTTGCATTCATGCGGTTTCTCCCCTGTGTGGGTTCTTTGGTGCAAACGCAGACTTCCACTGCGACTGAAGCTCCTTCCACATTCCATGCATTCATATGGTTTCTCCCCTGTGTGGGTCCTTAGATGTTTATTACATGTGCCTTTATCACGGAAGCTCATTCCACATACTGTACATTCATATGGTTTCTCCCCTGTGTGGGTCCTTAGATGTGTATTACATGTGCCTTTAACACGGAAGCTCATTCCACATACTGTGCACTTGTATGTTTTTCTCCTGTGTGAACTCTTAGATGTTTACCATATGATCCACCATCGCTGAAGCTCTTCCCACATTCCATGCATTTGTATGGCTTCTCTCCTGTGTGTATTCTTTGATGCACCTGTAGATTTCCTTTCTGGCTGAAGCCCTTTCCACATTCCATGCATTTATATGGCTTCTCCCCTGTTTTCGTTCTCTTTTGCTTTCCAGACACCTGTTTTTCCGCACCAGGCTTTGTTACAGCTGGCTTCTTGTGTTTCTTCTGCCAATTTCTTTTTTGAGAAAAAAGAAGAAAAATCCTTTAGACAAAATGACAGAAATCAGAGACCAAATAAGAGACGTATCCCCTAGAGCAGTGGTTCTCAACCTTCCTAATGCTGTGACCCCTTAATACAGTTCCTCATTCTGTGGTGACCCCCAACCATAAAACTACTTTAGTTGCTACATCATAACTGTAATTTTGCTACTGTTATGAATCATAATGTAAACATCTGATATGCAGGATGCATTTTCATTCAGTGGACCAAACTGGGCACAAATACCCAATACGCCCAATTCTGAATACTGGTGGGGTTAGGGGTGGGGGTTGATTTGGGAGTTGTAGTTGCTGGGATTTATAGTTCACCTACAATCAAAGAGCATCCTGAACTCCATCAATGATGGAATTGAACCAAATTTGGCACACAGAACTCCCATGACCAACAGAAAATACTGGAAGGGTTTGGGGTGCATTGACCTTGAGTTTGGGAGTTGTAGTTCACCTACATCCAGAGATCACTGTGGACCCAAACAATGGTGGATCTGGACCAAACTTGTGGAGTTTGGGGAAAATAGACCTTGACCTTTTGGAGTTGTAGTTACTGGGATTTATAGTTCACCTACCATCAAAGAATATTTTGAACTCCACCAAAAATAGAATTGGGCCAAACTTGGCACACAGAACCCCCGTGGCCAACAAAAAATACTGTGTTTTCTGATGGTCTTTGGTGACCCCACTGACACCCCCTTGCGACCCCCCAGGTTGAGAAACGCTGCCCTAGTTTCTCGTTAATCTATTTAACATGCCATACTGAAATCTTTGATCAATATGCTCCTCTCAGCCGCTAACATCAATAGCATTGCCTGTCTAATCCTAAGATGAGAGGATCCACGTCCTTCTCTCTTCGGGTGATATAGCAGTGCTTTCCATTTGCATGTGAGAAGAGAAGGATAACCCAGAGCTGTAGCAAGGAAAAAAATGGAGGAAGACTCCTTCCTGAATAGAAATCCTCCCTCAGAAAGAGCCTCTGCTCCAATACAAATACAGTTAACGATTGGCACTGAGCTTCTCCACATTGTAATGAGCTAACGGTGCACTTGTAGTGAATTCCAAGGCTGAGGGAGGAGATTGAACCTGGGTGTTGAAGGGAGAGGGTGTTTGGAGACTGGAGTGGCGTAGAGCAGTGGTTCTCAACCTTTCTAATGCTGTGACCCCCAAATAAAGTTCTTCCAGCCATATTTTCGTGGCTACTTCATAAATAATTTTGCTCCTCTTATGAATTCTAATGCAAATATCTAATAGGCAGGATGTATTTGCATTGTTACAAATTGAACATAATTAAAGCATAGGGACTAATCACAAAAACAATATCTTTGGGGGAGTATGGACAACGGATGATGGGATTTGCAGTACCTTCAACCAATTCAGCTCTGACTTCCATAGACCACTGAGATCCCTCACAAATTACAGACCTGGACCAAACTTGAAACACAGAACTCCCATGACAACAGAAAATACTGGAGGAGTTTGGGAGGAACTGACAGTAATTTATGGGAGACGTAGTTCTGAACTTATGCAACCAGAGAATGGATTCAAACTTGGCACAGAAAACTCCCATGGTGAATAGAAAATACTGGAAAGACCTGGGGTACATAGACCTTGGCATTTTGGAGCTGCTGAGATATATAGTTCTCTCCCATTCAAAAGCATTCTGAACTCATGCAACCATGGAATGCACTGAAACTGGGTACAGAGAACTCCCATGGTGAACAGAAAATACTGGAAAGGACTGGGGTACATAGACCTTGGCATTTTGGAGCTGCTGGGATATATAGTTCTCTCCCATCCAAAAGCATTCTGAACTCATGCAACCATGGAATGCACTCACACTTGGCACAGAGAACTCCCATGGTGAACAGAAAATATGGAAAGAACTGGTGTACATAGACCTTGGCATTTTGGAGCTGCTGGGATATATAGTTCTCCCCCATCCAAAACCATTCTGAACTCATGCAAACAGGGAATGCACTCACACTTGGCACAGAGAACTCCCATGGTGAACAGAAAATATGGTAAGGACATAGACCTTGGCATTTTGGAGCTGCTGAGATATATAGTTCTCTCTCATCCAAAAGCATTCTGAACTCATGCAAACGGGGAATGCACTCACACTTGGCACAGAGAACTCTGGCGGACAGAAAATACTGGAGAGGATTGGGGTACATAGACCTTGGCATTTTGGAGCTGCTGGGATATATAGTTCCCTCCCATCCAAAAGCATTCTGAACTCATGCAACCATGGAATGCACTCAAACTTGGCACAGAGAACTCCTTCCGCCCGTCTCTCACCCTCTTCTAAGCTCAGAAGGAGGCAAAGGCCAGGCGGTGAAGGCTCCTGGGATGGCCAGGCATTGAGGACGGCAGGAATAAGTTTACTCACCTTGCGGGGTCTTCTTCCCCCGTACCTTTGCCTCCAAAGCTCCTCCTGCTGTCTACCCACAGGTCTATGGAAAGAGCAGGAGGAGGAACCAGCTAGGAATGAAAATGTGGCTGGCTCAGGGGGTGAGCAGCTATTTTGGAGGGGGTGGAGACAGCCAAGGCAGCTTCGCAACTCCCCCAAAATGGCTGAATGACCCCCCTTTGGGTCTCGACCCCCAGGTTGAGAACCGCTGGTGTAGAGGGTTAGGAGAAAGGCCTGTGATTGGCCAGAGTTGCTAGCAGGGAAAGCTAGTGAGGAGTTTACAGCTATTAGGAAGGTAGCTGGGAAACAGAGATAGATCCAGGTTAGGACTATCTGTGCTGGTGGAGAATTACTGTCAGAGAAACTATCCTGTCAGGATTCTTGTTTGGAGGGAGAAAGAAGAGTTTCTTGTGTAACAAAGTCAGAACTGTTTATCAAGACAAATCTCTGTAACAGCCAAGCTTAGTACCTGCATTGTTCCTGTTCTTGTAAATAAACTTTACTGTTAGGTTCTTGTGGGTTTTTTCGGGCTATATGGCCATGTTCTAGAGGCATTTCTCCTGACGTTTCGCCTGCATCTATGGCAAGCATCCTCAGAGGTAGTGAGGTCTGTTGGAATTAGGAAAATGGGTTTATATATCTGTGGAATGACTGGGGTGGGGCAAAGAGCTCTTCTCTGCTGGAGCTAGGTGTGAATGTTTCAACTGACCACCTTCATTAGCATTTGAAGGCCTGGCTGAGCCTGGGAAAATCTTTTGTTGAGAGGTGTTAAGATGTGCGTGGTTGTTTCCTCTCTGCTGTTTTGCTGTTGTAATTTTAGAGTTTTTTAATACTGGTAGCCAGATTTTGTTCATTTTCATGGTCTCCTCCTTTGAAATTGTCCACATGCTTGTGGATTTCAATGGCTTCTCTGTGTAGTCTGACATGGTGGTTTTGAGAGTGGTCAGCATTTCTGTGTTCTCAAATAATATGCTGTGTCCAGGTTGGTTCATCAGGTGCTCTGCTATGGCTGACTTCTCTGGTTGAAGTAGTCTGCAGTGCCTTTCATGTTCCTTGATTCGTGTTTGGGCAATGCTGCGTTTGGTGGTCCCTATGTAGACTTGTCCACAGCTGCATGGTATACGGTAGACTCCTGCAGAGGTGAGAGGATCCCTCTTGTCCTTTGCTGAATGTAGCATTTGTTGGATTTTCTTGGTGGGTTTGTAGATTGTTTGTATGTTGTGTTTCCTCATCAGCTTCCCTATGCGGTCAGTGGTTCCCTTGATGTATGTCAAGAACACTTTTCCTCTGGGTGGATCTTCATCTTTACTCTCGTGGCTTGTTCTTGGTCTTGAAGCTCTTCTGATGTCTGAGGTGGAGTCTCCATTGGCCTGGAGAGCCCAGTTGAGGTGGTTCAGTTCATCTTGGAGGAGGTGGGGTTCGCAGATTCTTTTTGCACGGTCTGCCAAGGCTTTAATGGGGCTTCTTTTTTGACTTGGGTGATGGTTGGAGTTTTTATGTAGATATCTATCTGTGTGTGTGGGTTTTCTGTAGACAGTGTGACCCAATTGTTGATCTGGTTTGCGGATGACTAGGACATCTAGAAAAGGCAGTCTTCCTTCATTTTCTTCTTCCGTGGTGAATTGGATGTTTGGGTGGATGCTGTTAAGATGGTCCAGGAACCTGTTGAGTTCTTCTTCTCCATGGCTCCAAATGGTGAAGGTGTCATCCACATATCTGAACCATATCGTGGGCTTTTTGGTTGCTGTCTCCAGGGCTTGTTTTTCAAAGTGTTCCATGTAGAAATTAGCTATGACTGGGCTGAGAGGGCTCCCCATAGCTACTCCATCTTTCTGTTCATAGAATTCATTGTCCCACTGAAAGTAGCTGGTGGTGAGGCAATGGTGAAACAGAGCTGTGATGTCTTCTGGGAACCTCTGGTTGATGAGTGCCATGGTGTCTGCTACCGGGACCATGGTAAATAGAGATACCACATCGAAGCTGATCAGTTTGTCGTTTGTATTTAGCTTGAGGTTGCTGATTTTTTCTATGAAGTGGGCTGAGTCCTTGATGTAGTGTGTAGTGAGCCCAATATGGCTTTGTAACTGTGCAGCAAATTTTGCTAAGTTGTACGTGGGGGATCCAATGGCACTCACGATGGGTCTGAGTGGGGTGGAATCCTTACTGTTTATGGTTCATTACATCTGACTCGTGTGCCTCTGCTTAAAGGTTTAAAAGCAGCTTTAAGCAGAAATCAAGAACTTAATTGGTGGCAGCGTATGTTTTAAAGAACTATCTTTAAAGGGTACCTCAGAAACTCAAGCCTGAGGGCTAACACCATCACACTCTTTCACAAGTTACCTCAAGTAAGCCAAGGGCTTATCAGCACTGCTAAGTGGGTGGGTGCCAGTGTGCTTTCAAAAAGGGTTTTTCAGCCAGGAAGAAAGTGCCAGCTTTCTATCACAGCCTTTTGGGTTTTGGAGCTTGGAAACGCAGAAGCTTTTGTCCAATACAAGTGGTTTTCAGTTGTGGGATTATTTTAATTCCCAAACAAAGTCACGCTACATCTTGTATATTTTTGGTTTTCAGCTGGTGGAATTAAATATTATTCCCCAAATTCTTCCTTCCGTCTTGTTATAATTGGTGGCAAGGGCTGGGATTTGTCCAAAAATAAATTCCGTCTTGTTATAGCATTCTTTCCAAACAAACGGCATTCCTGGAGTATCGACGGAATTTTCTTTTTTGAACGGCACTCTCATAAGGCCTGAGAGAGAGCCCTTGAATCTACCAGATTAGCCCTTGCTTCTC